TTGGCTTTCGTTTAGCTCCTTCTATTGTTGATTTGTATACTCGGTTTCATGAGTCCTTGGTCAGGGCCGAATTGTTTTCGGCCTGATGTCTCAACCAGATGGCTTGGCTTTTCTCATTGATTTAATTCAGCCTCCACATTTGTCAATCCCTCAGTTGTAGGAGCTTTTATTTACTATCACTATCTTTTTCTTTAAACTACCTCCTTTTTTTTGGACTTTTAAGTCTTCGTTTGACATGTCAAGTTTTTTGGTTTTTTAGCTATTTTAGTCACAAAAAGATAAAAGTGGTTTGGAAATACTTTTGGATCCAGTTAGATGTTTTTGATTCTCTAATTGCTACGTGAAAAATGGATGAACACTCCAGTCGGGGGTGCCGAAATTAGCACTCCGACGGACAAGTCAGTATCCTCTCAAATTTACTTCTATCTCAAGTTATCTTTTTTGTTTTCACATACCTCTCTTTGGCTAACATTTCTCCATTTTTATATTACGTTTGGGCCCAAGGGTCAGGCCCACTCTTGACCTTGCACATGATTATTTAGTCGGTCTTCCAATTGAGTGTTCACTCCCGTTCGGCCCCTTATATGTCTGATTCGTAGACTCAGCTTTATGAGCCCCTGGTCGGCCTGATGTCTCAACCGGATGGCTTGGCCTTTCCTAATTGATTTAATTCGGCCTCCATATTTGTCAATCCCTCAATTGCAGGAGCTTCTATTTACTACCACTATCCTTTTCTTTAAACCACCTCCTGTTTTTTTGGACTTTTAAGTCTTCGTTTGACATGTCAAGTTTTTTAGTTTTTTAGCTATTTTAGTCACAAAAAGATAAAATAGGTTTTTTAACCCAATAAAATAAAACATCACATTCAAACCATAATCATTTTATTTTTTCTCTTAAAAAAACCAAAAAAGCCAAAAAGTTTATCCTAAATGAGGCTTTTTAGCCCCAAACTAAAATAGTGAAAAAGTCAAAAGGCTAACCCATATTCCAAATGAACCCTAAATGCAGTTTTACCTCTAAAAAAAATTATCATGTAAGGACGAAAGGATGAAAATGGAGAAGGAATTGGATGAAGAATATGGAAGATTAGAACTTTTATTTATTTAAGAGATTAAAAGATTATATATAGCTAAAATTGTTTTCAACTTCGCTACATAGCTCGAATGCGCGGGAGCTTGAATCTCCCGAAATCCCAAAGCGATGTCGTTTTGGGATTTTTTTTTTTTTTTTCTTCTCGTTTGTCTGAAGAAGAAGAAAAGTAGAGGAGAGAAGAAGAAAAAGATCTGAAATCAAACCCACTTTCCTTCAACCACAAAATTGAACACAAAATTAATTCAACCACAAAATTGAAACCCATCACAAAACTGAAATCAAAATCAAAATCAAACCCACCCACCCAAAAATCAAACCCAATCAAACACAAAAATAAACCAACCCACAGATCTGGATCTACTAGGAAAAAAAATAAAAAATCAACAACAAAATCTTCATCAACACATCATCATCAACAACAACATCTTCATCAACATCACCATCATCAACACATCATCTTCATCTTCAGAGCCAAAAAAGAGAGAGAGAGAGAGAGAGAGAGAAAACAGAGTTTGAAATCAAAATCGCACCCTCCATCACCGTCCACCGTCGCACCCTCCATCACCATCGTCCCGCCCCGCCATCACCGTCGCCTCTCTTTCTCTGTTTCTGTCTCTCTTCTCTCTCTCTCTCCCTCCCTCTGTGTGTTCAGATATAAACGAGAAAAAAAAAAAACATTGCCAAAACGACGTTGTTTTGACATTCGGGGGATTCGAGCTCTCACGCATTCGAGCTCTCACACATTTTTCATTTGTTTTATAATACTATTTAAAAATAAAAAATCTTAGTGTGCACCCCATAGGGGTACATATCATATGTGTCTTATAATAAATTGATGTAATTTTGTCACAAAATTTTGAAATTGTTTGAAGTGATCCACTTTAGATCATCTTTTTAATCTACCACATTGCACAACTTATTGTAAAATAGTGAAAAATATACTTATTTAGATCATCACATCAATCACATCATAATATCAACTACAAAATGTGTAACATTGTCACAAATTGGTATAACAAAAAAATATCATAACCAAGTTATCAACTTTTGTAATATTAATCACAAAATTTTAGATATTTTGTTACGCTAATTTGTGGCGAGATTATGTATTTTGTAATTAATATTATGAAAATTTGTGTTAAAATTATGCAAATTTATAATAGGGTGCATACCATGCACCTCTAAAGGAGTGCACATCATGGTCTCGTTTGTTTGACAAATTAGGTTGGATGAGATTAAAAGTATGGTGAGATTGAATGAGGAAATTATTAGTGTGATCATATAAAGTTGGATATTTAAAATTAAGTGTGTTTGTTTGTACACTAGTGTGATGGTATTGTTAGTTAGGATTAAATCTGCAAATTATGTAAAAACTCTTATCATATGAAAGATATTTTTATTAATTTTGTAGAATGAAGAACAAAATGGTCCTTTTGTCCTCAATCCATGGGAGTTGAATGCTAATCTCACCATTCCCATGAAAATGTTAATCCTATCATGAGGGGTGATTGACAGTACCATGGAATTAACAATCACATGACACTTTTTTACAAATAAACAAACTGTGTGTAGGCCTAATAAATTACTAATCCAATCTCCTCACTCAAACTTCCGATCAAACATCATCTATAGACTTTCCCTTTAAAAATAAATATAGACAAGATGAATTCCCAAAAGGTCCCACATGACGAAGCACACACGAAAGAGCTTGTAGAAGAAAAGTGAGCCTTTTGGATCCTAATTACAGCTTATTTTGGTAAATGGATAAAAAGTTACTTTCTAATTTTTAATTTATTTTGATTCATGTTATCTCTATACTTTTTTATATATTTTTTGAAAAAAAGCTTAAGAAAATTAAAAAATTAACTTTTAACTAACTTTCCAAAATAAACTTACATCATAATTTGTTATTTTCTTCTTTGTCCAAAGTTTTTTTTTTTTTTTTGATAAATAAAAATTAAATGCTCTAAGGTGTTACCACGGCATCCGTGAACCCCGAGATAATTGGTTGTTGACCTAATTTGACTTAACTTATATGAAGGAACCTACTATCGAAACAGCAGTGGAACTCATCAACCATCCCAGCAGAACCAATATTTGATCAGAATACAGCGTGAGATTTCTAAAAAAAAACACTAAAAACAATTCAATATTTCACATCATTCAAAAGTGGAACTCAACTCACCGTTGAGAAAGACAATACCTGCGCTATTGGGCCTTTGTCCTAAGGTTTAATTAGATACTTTTCCACATTCTTTCTATATGTTATGTACCGTCATGATATTATATATCAACAAAGAAATCTTGGGTTTGATCTTATGGTCAAGAGAATGGATAATTTACCCACCCAAAAAAAGAGAATGGGTAATTATTGTTGAAAATGGTTAATTTTTCCTCAAGTTTGGTCTATTTTTTAGGTAGGCCCCGAGTGTCGATTTACTCGGGTCATAGTGGTAACGCGTTCTATGCCGCGTTGTGATTCACGTGGTATATTTGGTTGCTCAAAACCATTACCGAGTGAATGGGAAATTGAAGCCAAAGTGTGCTCCATGGAAATGGAGTTTTGGTGGAAATTCCTTAAGGTTGTAAATTGGCTTGTCCCACATTGATTTGGTGGGAGATTTTGAAAGGGTTTATAAGGCTTAGGGTGAGATACTTAGGGTGTGCCCCAAGGGGTACCCAAGTGTTTTAAAGGGAGAGGTTATGGGCAAAATGGGCTAGACCCATTGGACCCAAAAATCACCACACGCGGGCGCGGCTGTGTGGTTGGGCTTCTAATCTTTTTGGGCCAAAAACATTTGAATTTAATTTTATTTTTTACTTAAAATAAAATTTGGATTTTTTGTTCATCCAAACAAGGCCCTTCCCGGTTTCAAATGGAATTAATGCACACCCAAACAGGGCCCTTCCCGTAATTGCTATCTGTTTGAATTGTTGAATCTGTCAATTCAAAACCAAGAGCCACATACCTGTTCAATTCAAATCCAAGAGCCACCTTCACATCTATAAATAGGACCACCCTCATTTGATGTTTTTCTAAATTTTCATGCCCCTATACTAAAACACTAATAATTGTTAAATTATGTTAAAAATTATTGATATATGATTTATTGGTTAATATTTTGGGGTGAAAGATCCTGTGTTGATTTTAAGAATTTTTTATGCAAACCCATGAAATTCTTAGACTAATTCAAAGGAAAGGGAATATTTTTTTTTTTTGAAAGTTAGTTTTCTATTTGTCACACAATTGGCTCTAAGCATGCCCCAATGGTCACTAGTGTTCACCGTCACACAATTGGCTCTAAGCATGCCCCAATGGTCACTAGTGTTCACCGTCACACAATTGGCTCTAAGCATGCCCCAATGGTCACTAGTGTTCACCGTCACACAATTGGCTCTAAGCATGCCCCAATGGTCACTAGTGTTCACCGTCACACAATTGGCTCTAAGCATGCCCTAATGGTCACTAGTGTTCACCAAATATTGCATACTTGTTAGTGCAAATCTTTAGAAATCGCTTCATATTCAAAAAAAATCACCAAACGTATACTGCATTTCAATTAAGGCCTCGTTTGGGAACATGCTAATTTAGTAACTTTTTGACTATTTGACTAAAATATGAGCTAAAAAAAACTAATATGTTTCGAATGACTTTTTAATTTTTACGAAAAAATGTATAAAAAGTAAAGAGAAAGAAAATTTTTGACTTTTTATCATAAATTATTGACTTTTTAATTTTTTAATGACTTAATAATTTTTAACCTAAAAAATTACTTTTCAAACGAGACGTAAGTCCAACGACCGACTGATACCAAACTTGATGATAATAAATAATTTATTACTAATATTTGTAAGTCTTCCTAATATTTTATTTATTTATTATTATTAAAAGCAAAGACGGCCAACAAAGTCATGCTACATGAAATGTTTGTGACCAAATATGATTTCGTCTCAATATTCTCTTTACCAGTCTCAGAAAATCCTAAAAAGCTTCCCCAAACAAAGAAAAATCTTACTAATGTAACAAGAAACTCTATCTCTCTCTCTCTCTCTCTCTCCCTCAGGAAAAAGTTTTGAGTGAGAGAGTTGGGAATGGCAAAAACAGGAGTGATATTGTTAGAGTCTGAAACACCATTAACAACAACAACAACAACAAAGACAACAACAGCAGCAACAATAGCTGAATTGAAGAAAGAATTGCAGAGGTTAGTCAAGTCCATAATCGACGACAACGACGATTACACCATCGAAGCCACCGATCGAGCCATACGAACCTTGTTGTCTCTCAAGAATTTCAACTTCAAACCCACTTCTCTACAGCCTTCCCTTTCCCTCTCACTTTCGGTTGGACTCGATGAATCCACGAGTTCCATTCCCGATGAATTTCGGTGCCCTATTTCCAAAGAACTCATGCGAGACCCCGTTGTCTTGTCCACCGGACAGGTTTCACTCCCTTCCCTCCATTCTGTTTTTTTTTTTCTTTTTTTGTTGGGTTTAATTTTTCCTGAATTGTCTCTTTTGGGTTTAATTTTTGCCGAATTTTACGGAGTGGGTTGTTTGGATTCTGTAATATTTCAGGGCTGTTGATGTTTTTGTAATTAATTATTGCGAGAATTACTTGTTGTGAAGATAATTTAAGCATCACTAAACTTGAGCCTCAATGGCAATGGAGAATTCTGTTGTTTTGCTCTGTTCAATGGAAAGAAAATTGATTTTTTTTGCAAATTAAGAGAGGGTATATACTGTTGGATTGGAGGGCTTGTCTAGTGTTATATTTCTCTGATCATGTTCATCTACTATGTGTTTCTTTTCTTTTCTTTTCTTCCTTTAGGATATATAGTTTGATGTGTTTGATGAATTGCCAGCATGACACCTGAAAACTGAAAATAGTTGCTCCTTGTGTGAACTTTTGGCAGATAATAGAGGTATTTTGTTTTTTGGAATTAAAAGAATTTAAAATAAAATAAAATAAAATTCTGTGCTGTCTTTTGAATCATTTAACTATCTTTGAGAGAGTTTGAATGTTTTGGTTTACATCTTGTCTTGTTGGTTCTCCGTTTTTTGCATTCTCTGTGCTTAATTTTCGGTTTATGGTAGCTATTGACTCTGTGATCATCTGCTGATTTTTGACATGATTGACTTATTTTTTGAATGCTGTTTTTGGATTTGCAGACTTATGATCGATCATTTATACGAAAGTGGCTGAAAGATGGTCACCGGACATGCCCTCAGACCCAACAAGTCCTCTCCCATACAGTCCTCACCCCCAATCACTTGGTCCGAGAAATGATTTCACAATGGTGCAAGGGGCGTGGCATGGAGCTACCAAGTCCTGTTGAAGATATTGACGATGAAGGAATGACTGAAGCAGACCGTGGCCACTTGAATTCACTTCTTGAAAAGATGTCATCTTCTCTTTCTGATCAGAAAGAGGCTGCAAAAAAGCTTCGACTTCTGACAAAGCGAACGCCATCATTCCGAGCTCTTTTTGGCGAATGTACCGATGCCATTCCCCAATTACTGAATCCACTCTCTCCAGGAAGGGCTGATAACCATCCTGATCTCCAAGAGGATTTGATCACAACGGTTTTGAATCTCTCAATACACGACAATAACAAGAAGCTAGTTGTAGAGAATCCGCTGGTCATCCCTTTGCTTATCGAGTCGTTGAAATCTGGAACCATTGAAACTAGAAGCAGCGCTGCTGCCACTCTCTTCACATTATCGGCTCTTGATTCAAGCAAACACATTATTGGGAAGTCGGGTGCTCTCAGACCTTTAATTGAGCTTTTAGATGAAGGGCATATGTTAGCCATGAAAGACGCTGCTTCAGCAATTTTCAATTTATGCCTCATCCCTGAGAATAAGGGAAGAGCAGTTCGTGAAGGAGCCATCAGCATGATTTTGAAGAAGATATTGGAGGGCGTACTTGTTGACGAGTTGTTGGCCATTCTGGCAATTCTTTCGACCCATCAAAACGCTGTTGAGGAGATGTGCGAGCTCAGTGCAATGCCTTGTTTGTTTCGTATTATAAGAGAGAGTACTTGTGAACGAAACAAGGAAAATTGCATTGCAATAGTATATACGATATGTATGAGTGATCGGTCAAAGCTGAGGGAGATCAGGGAAGAAGAGAATGCCAATGGGACTATATCTGGGCTTGCGGAAAGAGGAACTTCAAGGGCAAAGAGGAAGGCAAATGGCATCCTAGATAAGCTTAATAAAACTGCTCTAGTCATACACACAGCTTGATGAAATAAACCCAATCCCCCCATCCAACACAATCCTTTGTAAATCCATCGTACGCCCTTTGTGAATATGCCCTTTCTTTGACACTGTACATATCAACTTTCAATTCGGTTACCGATAAATACAGAGAAAGATCCACATTTTCCTACACAATTCGAGAAAAGTTTATTCGTTTTGAAAGATTGCAAGTATTTTGAGACCAAGAAAAGATAATTGGTCGAGATTTAGTTGATTTGGGTGAATGCCAACCTCTTAGGAGTGTCGGCGCACAATTGGGTTTTACATTTCTTTAGATTTTTTGAATAATGGTGGGTCAAGTATTAAAAGATTGATTTAACCAAAATATATATAATAAAATAAAAAAGGGTATTATAAGAGATTGTATGAATGTTCACACATTTGGACGGTAGTTTATAAAATTGTGCGGGGAAAAGAAAGAATAGGAGAAATAGTAGAAGAGGGAGAGGGAGAGGGCGTGATGTTGATGATCCAATATTTCCGTAAATTAATGCGCCGATGCATAACATTACCCCTCACACCCCCCAATTATGTCCCTTTCAGACGTTATTATTTTTTATTCATTTCAAATCTTATCATATTCCAAATTTCAAATTCCAAATTCCATCAGTTCCTTCCAAACATATGAAATTTCAAGGAATTTTTCATTCCAAAATTACAATGGCGGTGTTTGGAAACGGTGGCTACAGGTTATTTTAACCTCAAAATATAAAATAAATAAACTTTTTAGCCACACTAATGATTAAAAAATAAAATAAAAAATAAAGAAAAGACAGTGGCTGTCATGCACGGACAATCTACAATGTGACCAACACAATGTAGGCTACCAATGCCATCCCACATGCAGTTAAATTACCATTTTGCCCCCACAGATCAATTTTGAAAAAAATAAAATTAGGGGTAAATTTATCATTTCAACCTCAAATATCATTGCTAACATATTTTTCAATACAACAACCAACCCAAAAATTTAACCCAACTTTCCAAACATAAAAACTAAAATAATCTATTAAAATAACTAAAAAATCAAAAAAACCTTTAAAATAATCAATTAAAATAACTAAAAAATCAAAAAACCTTTAAAATAGTCACTTTACAAACACTCACATTGTAAAGTGGCTAAATTAACATGAGTTATTGTGGCTGATTTTTAGACTTTGTTCTGGTACAATTCATGGACTTTCTACAATAATATAATCGTTTTTGACACAAAAGACCATCTAGAAATGTTGTGGGGCAGAAGGAAACTTGTGGCGCAGAGAAATTTTTCGCAATTTGTCAAAAAAGCAATTTTACAAAAAGGAATAAAGGGGTTCAAACCTTATCTTACAACTTTGGACGGACATATATACCCAATTCTCATTCATGGTAATGCTTGTCAAACTCAATAAAGAATACCCTTTTGAATTATGTATTTTGAAGACTTATCTAAAAAAATAAAATTGGTAGTGTAAATTTAAATTTAATGTGATGCAAGTAATGTTCAAATAAATTTGATGGACATACTTCACTAACAGTTAATTAGCCAACTTTTGTAACAATTATAGCTCATTAGAAGATGTCAAATAAAAATGTATGGGTATTCTATCATGAGAAGTGCAAAATCAAAAAGGTTGTCAAATTGTAGTATTATACTAAACTTTGTGGCAAACGTTTGGTTAGTCATTGAAGGCATCAAAATTCAATTTTTATGCTAGCTTTTGACAATAGCAATTATTTTATCATAACATTGGAGAAACTCTTACTTTATACAAAATGAGGAAGACATAGGCACGGAGCAAATAGAATCATCTTTTTCATAACTTTAGGGTTAGCCGACGCTAATATATTATCTTTATACTGTGTTTGGTTGTGAAATTTGAGAAGGAATTTGTTGGCTACACATTTTGTACTAAGCCAGTGACAATCCGACGCGTGGCGAAGTGAGGGTAATATGGGGAGACCAGGTAGGTCTTCGATCCTGATCATACACGTGGCAATTAATATTGGTTGTTATAAGATCTGAGTAGTAGCAGATCAACAAAGAGACGTACAGTGACGTGGCTTTAACGGTTGCTCACATTTCAAATTCGAATACAAGGGGGAAGCCTAACTGCAAGTGAAGGCGTAGTGGGACTACTTATAAGGTAGCATGATCAGCAACTACGGAGGAGCAGTTCGACGGTTTGAAGTACAATTCGATAGTTATCTTCGGAGAGTATAAATAGCAGGAAGGACTTCAGAGAAGGGGACGAAAAAAAATCTAAAGAATCACTTTACATATTCCAGTGTTATTTCCTGTCCCTTATATTCCTGTATTTTAAGTTTCTGGGCTGCACTTCATTTGTAGGAGTAGTTGTCGAGTATATTGCCGCTGTAATTCTCTACGGAACTGAGATCATTGTAAGTTCTTTTTATACTAATGAAATACTCCAGTTTAGTTAACTGTTCTTATGTTCAAATTTTCTGAAGTTAAATTACCAGTAAGCCACCAGTAAAAGTCCTCTTTATTGAGGCCGAAAGAACCATAACACAATCGTCTGAATAATTGTTTGGCAATTCTGTAAGGACTGATTGATCCTTGCTGGCACGCTCATAATTACGAAAGTAACCTTCGAAAGCCAAAAAAGCCAACATATATTTTTGGCACGCCCAGTGGGACCTTTTAAAAAAAAAATGGCTAGACGTAGGAGACAAGGAGAAAATGAACGTTTGGAAGAAGGCGTGGAAGGAGAGGTGGAGACATCCAATCCAGAGAATAATGTGATAACACATCCTATGGAGACTCCTATCCTATCGGAACCCATGGTCGAACAGACCAATACTTCAGAACAAATACCATTTGTTCGTAATAGTGGACGAGACCAAGGGATTGGACCATCCAGTGTCCCATCTGCTCAGTCACTCAATCCGTGGGGCGGCTTGATAGATGCCATGGGACAGCAATTAATAAACACAATGGAAAGGTGGGCAGCATCCTTTTTGGATCGAATGAATAACCACTTTCAATACAACAACCAACCCAAAAATTTAACCCAACTTTCCAAACATAAAAACTAAAATAATCTATTAAAATAACTAAAAAATCAAAAAACCTTTAAAATAGTCACTTCCTAAACACTCACATTGTAAAGTGGCTAAATTAGCATGAGTTATTGTGACTGATTTTTAGACTTTGTTCTGGTACAATTCATGGACTTTCTACAATAATATAATCGCTTTTGACACAAAAGACCATCTAGAAATGTTGTGGGGCAGAAGGAAACTTGTGGCGCAGAGAAATTTTTCGCAATTTGTCAAAAAAGCAATTTTACAAAAAGGAATAAAGGGGTTCAAACCTTATCTTACAACTTTGGACGGACATATATACCCAATTCTCATTCATGGTAATGCTTGTCAAACTCAATAAAGAATACCCTTTTGAATTATGTATTTTGAAGACTTATCTAAAAAAATAAAATTGGTAGTGTAAATTTAAATTTAATGTGATGCAAGTAATGTTCAAATAAATTTGATGGACATACTTCACTAACAGTTAATTAGCCAACTTTTGTAACAATTATAGCTCATTAGAAGATGTCAAATAAAAATGTATGGGTATTCTATCATGAGAAGTGCAAAATCAAAAAGGTTGTCAAATTGTAGTATTATGCTAAACTTTGTGGCAAACGTTTGGTTAGTCATTGAAGGCATCAAAATTCAATTTTTATGCTAGCTTTTGGCAATAGCAATTATTTTATCATAACATTGGAGAAACTCTTACTTTATACAAAATAAGGAAGACATAGGCACGGAGCAAATAGAATCATCTTTTTCATAACTTTAGGGTTAGCCGATGCTAATATATTATCTTTATACTGTGTTTGGTTGTGAAATTTGAAAAGGAATTTGAAAAGAGAAGTAAAAAATGTAGGTGAAATGTAAATAAAATATACCTACATTTCATTTAATTTTACATACATTTTTCTTTTTCTTTTCAAATCTCTTCCTAAATTTCTTAACCAAACATAACATAGGCTATCGAAGATGAAAGAAACTCTTAAAACCATCTCCAAGTGTTGGGGGTTGCCGTGAGAGGTGGGGAATTCTACCAAAATGCATGTAACGACACAATCAGCAGGTGAGTCCATACGCGCACTCTAAAGCAGGCTAAAAAGTTTGATCCCAATAAAAAACAAAAAACTAGTGTCTTATGGATGGTCTAAAGGACCACATAACCAAAAGCATAGCCAAAAAATTAAGAAAAGTTGGATCATGGTATATATACAGCCTCCCTTATCACAGTCCAAAAATTGCAGTCTCATTGCCCCATTAATTGATCTATTTGTTAGTACCCACCACCACCACCTTACTTATTTATATATATAAATATAGAAAAATATTATGATTCCCACCTTACCCATCCTCCTGAATTCCGAATGAGAATTGTGTAGTTGAAATTAAATTTGTATAGTGTTAGATTTATATGTAAAATAAATTTAAATCACAAAATAATAATTTTAAATAATTTCTAAATAATTAAGTCTAAATTTATAATATTACTCATAAATATATAAATCTGCAACAACAGTTTTAGATTCCTCAATGAAAGGTGGCAATGGAAGGTTCAATTAGGACCCTTCAGTCATCCCCACCCCCCACCAACAACAACAACAACAGTCTGTGGATGATGAGGTGTTGACAAAAACACCATCAGTTTTTGCACATGTAGACCTAATTTCTTGATGTTTGAAATTCTCTCTCTCTCTCTCTCTCTCTCTCTCTCTCCTACCAAAATCATGAGATTACAATAGGGAAATTACTTATCAGTGGCTCTGTCCCAGACCTTCGAATGGGTTAAAAAAAAGAAAAATTACAAATCATAAAAAAAATTATTTTTTTATTATTAATTATATATATATATAAGTTTATCATTTATTTGTAATTTTTTAAAAACAATACACTTAATTGAAGTCGCCCATTACAATAAATCTAATCTAGTAAAAACAAAAATTAGAAAATCTCCTTGGCGTACTATTTGTAGAATGTTTTTCTTATTTCAAAAAAAAAAAAAAATCAATCCACATTTTAGAAAAATTTAAGATTATTGTTGAATTTAAAATTTGAAAAGAAGAAGAAGAAATAAAGAGTGAGCAAAATGTGAATATAAACAAAATAACAATTTTCTATATTTTATCTTCTTGTTTTTTTCACTTCACAAATCCCTATTCAAATCACAAAAAATAAAAATGATAGGCATTATTGAACTTTACAATGCTTTTGTTTTTAATTTTAAAAAACAAAAACACAACCAAAAACACATATATGATATCTCTCATCAAAAAAGTAAATAATTAACAGAGTGTCTACAAACCAAACAATTTGTGGTTGATGATTGTGTGGAAAAATTTGAG